CCCATTCCCACCCTACTCCAGGGGAAGGATACTGCAAAATCCCCATTCCCACCCTACTCCAGGGGAAGGATACTGCAAAATCCCCATTCCCTCCCCACTCCAGAGGAAGGTTACTACAAAATCTCCATTTCCTCCCGATCAGCTAGGACTTGGGAGGCAGAGAATAAAGAATAGCCAGTCAGAGGTTGTATTTACTGGTTCTCCAATAAATGATACTCTGAGTAATTACTCAAAAGTTCTGCTACCAGTTCTCCAGAACTGATCAGAACCTGCTGAATACCACATCTAAACCAAATGTGGATTAGTCTATTCTATTGTGTTCCCCATAGTTACTTATTGTTATGAAAGTTGATGGCATAATATATGACTTGGACTTAACTCAATTCAAAAATACGGTCCGTGTTTAGTGGCTACCTTGTCTCGCAACTATTTGCAATTACAACAGTAGTTGAACCGTAAGTTTACTCTCAGTCCTTCCACTTACCACCTTTGCATAATGATATCACAATTTACTTGTTGCTGTTCTGTCTCCCTCCAGTGAGATGTTGGATTTGCCTTTTCTGAGATAGATCTTGGTGTCAAGGCTGTTGATCCCTTAATCCCATTATCTGCTTTTTTTCATCTCTTCCATGAACATGGCCCTTGAATGTTCTTTCTAAATGCATGGCTAGGAAGATAAGGGCTACAATTATCCCATCAGGTTGGCATATCATCCAAAATCTCCATTTGGTTGAGGCACTTTAACTGGCCGAAGACCAAGAATTCTATCTCCGAGACAAAGATTGGAAAGGGGTAACATTTTGGTTCCTTAATGTAACTAGACATTTGATTGATTTTCACCCAATGGATTGATTTTCTACAGGTCTTGTGAAGGGTGTGACTGTGACCATGCCAAAGGGTCCTGTGAATACAACAGTGGGTGCCAACGTCACTCTTCCTTGCACGTATAACCCAGCATCCACTCCTAATATAATTGAATGGAATTTTCAACGTGATGCACAGAGTTTTGGAGTAAGGCATTAAGATATTTTCTTTCAAACTTGGACTGTTTCTTATTGCTTCATTAAAATTACGTTGGATCCCAAATGCTATTCTGAACACAATCTAAAGTTGTTGGGTCCCTGGTGCTGTCTGAGCTTGGGTGTTTTGCTATGAAACATTTGCAAGAAAACAACCTCGGAGAGCACCAAGGACCCCACAGCTCAACCCTGAGCTACAAATATTTTCTTCCGTAGGTAGAATATAAAGTTATTGTAACTCAGTAGAATGATCTCCGCTGAGTTTAAAGTCAGATAGCTATTTTTATTTGCAAGGAGAGACCAGAGACTGTACTTTAGCAGAGAAGCAATGTGACCAAAGGGCTCAGTAGCTAAGACACTGAGCTTGTTGATCAGAAAGGTTGGCAGTTCAGCGGTTCGAATCCCTAGTGTTGCTTAATGGAGTGAACTCTCTTTATGTGAGACACTGGAAAGAGTACAAAGAAGAGCAACAAAGATGATTAGGGGGCTGGAGGCTAAAGCATGTGAAGAACATATTCAGGAATTGGGTATGTTTTTATTTACAAGGAGAGACCAGAGATGTACTTTAGTAGAGAAGTAATGTGACTAAATGGTAGCTCAGGGGCTAAGACGCTAAGCCCGTTGATCAGAAGGTCAGCAGTTCGAATCCCTAGCACTGCATAATGGAGTGAGTTCCCATTACTTGTCCCAGCTTNCTCTGCATGCCCTGGTATGAACTGGGCCATGGGGGACACAAACCTACACAAGGAACTATATTACAACATAGCTACTTGAGTATTAAGTCAGAGCTTTAAGGGCTGGCCACAGTGGCATTTCAATAATCCCAAAAGTCATGAGGAAAGAATTAGTAACTCCTCATTTTTCTTCCACGTTACAGAAGACAAGGGATAACTGGCAAATTTGAGATTCTGTAGTGGGCTTGGCTTCCTATTCCCTTTCCTCCCCTTTGATCTCAGTTGGCTCACTGTAACAACATTGTCAAAAAGGCAATAAGAATTGTTAACCTAATTTTGCATAGCTACTTCTCCGGTAACATTATATTGCAAACTAGGGCATACAAAACCTTTGCCAGACCAATCCTTGTATACAGCTCATCTGCCTGGAATCCACACTGTATATTGGACATTAATATGATCGAATGGGTCCAGAGGTATTTCACGAGAAGAGTCCTCCACTCCTCTGCTCACAATAGAATCCCCTTTTGCCACTGGGCTTGAAATTTTGGGCTTGGACAACCTAGAATTACACCAACTAAGGTCTGACCTAAGCATAGTACACAAAATTATCTGCTACAACATCCTACTTGTCAACGACTACTCCAGCTTCAACCACAATAATACTCAAGCAAACAATAGATACAAACTCAAGGTAAACGATTCCAAACTAGATTGCAGAAAATACGACTTCAGCAACAGAGTGGTCAATGCCTGGAATGTACTACCTGAACCTATTGTTACATCTTCAAACCCCCACAGCTTCAACCTTCAACTGTCTACAGTGGACCTCACCCCATTCCTAAGAGGTCCATAAAGGGGGTGTGCATAAGCACACCAGCGTACCTTCCGTCCCTGTCCTAATGTCCCCATCTATTAGTATTCATTTCTTTCGTTCATGTCCATGTTTATATTTATACCTGCCATTTTGTACATGTTTGACAAACTAAATAAGTAAAAATAAATAAATAAATTCAAGAAGACATGAAGATTCTTTTGAGTTTGCACTTAACGTCTAGGGGACTCCATTGAATAGAGTGTATGGCTGCTTTTAGGAAAAGAGCAGGACTTTTCAATATTTGATTTCCATCTGCTGTTTCATTCAACCTCTATCATGAGATAATTAAGTTGACTTTTGTTATCTAAAACGTCTCACTGCTCAAGCGTATTTACTGGCAAGCCCTTACCTCACAGTTGTTAAGTTTGCGTTTGCATTTCATAAGGCGAGACTCAGATGGCATCTGCATACAAGGAGTCCTTGATGTTCGACAATTCATTTAGTGACCGTTCAAAGTTACAACGGCACTGGGAAAAGTGACTGATGGCTGTTTTTCACACTTACGACCGCTGCCGTATCCCCGTGGTTATGTGATTTACATTTGGATACATTTGAACAACGGGTTCATGGTGGTTGTAATGTCCTGGGGACATGTGATCTCCTTTTGCGATCTTCTGACAAGCAAAGTCAAAGGGGAAGCCAGATTCACTTAACAGCCAGGCAAACTAACTTATCAACTGCAGTGATTCACTTAACAACTGAGGAAAAAAAGGTAATAAAATAGGCCAAATCCCACTTAACAAATGTCTCACTTAACAACAGAAATTGTAGGCTCTACTGTGGTCGTAAATTGAGGGCTACCTGCATTTTCGAGAGTGGCATTCCTATCTGACCTTATTAATTCATAAAAGTAAAGCTTTCTTTGAATTGAATTGGGATTGAACTTGATTCCTATGGACTTCAAGGACATAATATCCAGGTTGTTTTCTTGGCAGGAATTTGCTTCACTTTTTAGCCCACTCCAGGGGAAGAATACTGTAAAATCTCCATTTCCTCCCCACTCCAGGGGAAGGATACTATAAAATCTCCATTCCCTCCCCACTCCAGGGGAAGGTTACTGCAAAATCTCCATTCCCTCCCCACTCCAGGGGAAGAATACTATAAAATCTCCATTCCCTCACCACTCCAGGGGAAGAATACTATAAAATCTCCATTCCCTCACCACTCCAGGGGAA